CACCCCCCCCCCAAAAAAAATAAAAAAAATAGAAAAATTACAAAATTTGTTGTTCTGGAGCTGTTTCATTGTAAACAGGCAGTTTAACTGTCAGTAATATGTTTTATTTTAATTATTAAAAAAATATATATATTATACATTAGCAGCAAATAAATTAGCAAACAGTTCAGCTTACTAACATTAATAGCTATTATAAAGAGATATAATCAAGTTATCAAATCTCATAATCTTTTCTTCTCTGTATAACTTACACATTCTGATTAAAGAGCAATAAATAAATCTCTCTGAATTTTGATTATATTAAATAACAGAGGTTTATAAATGCTCACGTCTGACGTTATAATGAAAGCATTTGATTGCTTTCCTAACTGTTTATTGTCATTTAGGACAAAAAACCCACCAAGATCGACATATTTAGTATTACTGTTATTAATTATTTGTATGGACCTTTTTCTTGGCTGCTGCATGAAGGGCACGATAGCGACCAGCGTCTTCTGATATGGTTAGAACTTCCGTTTACAGCATTTACAATAGGTAATTTGCACTCCGAAAACGGGTTTCAATAGCGTTTTAATAGATTACGAAGTGTTCTTGTGACACACAACTTTGAAAAGTGTGTGTTACAGCCGTTATAATCTGTCAGATGTGATTTAAGCGCGAGAGAAAAACGTTCTCCCAGTTCTCGTGTCTGCCGTCAGAAATACAGTGTGTGTGTGTATTTCACACACACACACACACACACACACACACACACACACACACACACACACACACACACACATGTGCACACAAACGCACACAATACTTCACAAAAAAGACCAATAAAAGTCTGTTATTGATACTCCGCTGGCTGATTTGCATGTTCCTTCTAATCGCGAGCCGTTTATGTTTCAATTAACGTGTTGTATTTACCACGGTTTGTGTTTTTCTTTCATTTTAAAATGACACTAGCCCATATTTTTAAATCAGTGTGTCAGTGGGACAGTACAATAGGCTATGTGTGTGTGTCAAACATTTTGTTGAATTATATTTGTTTGGGCTGGTTATATATTTGAAATAAAGAGAAAATGTTGACTTTAGCGATGACGAGGCTTCATTTAAACTGCAGAAGATGCCGTCTGACCACGAGTGGAAAATGCCTCACAGCAGCTGTTTTCCATCCTATTAGATCGCATTTTTAAAAATAATCAGCCCAGGAGGTGGCGTTGATCTACAACAGAATTAGTTCAAAGATAATAAAAGCAGGTAAAATAGATTAAATTGGTTTAAAAGATTAAAATAATTTCAAAGCTGTCCAATTGTGACGGTTTATACGCATCAGCTGCCTACCAAAAGTTCTTAGCATTCTCCTTGCGCATACGCAACGGGTAATTTTGCTTTTTAAGAAAAAAGGTCTATATGTCTGTTTAAACATGCATGCAAAACCCAAACTTTCTCTCCACTTCAAATCGCGCGTATAGAATCCGTTTTGGAAACAGCGTCTATTTATCACTGTAGAGTGTGTCAGCTGACAGTCACGCACCGCTATTGACCTTATTCTAAAATGCAGAAGTGCGCCTGTTTTCGCGATTGTCTTAGAACTTCCGATTCAGTCGCCTATGGGAGAAATGACTAGGAATAATAAACGGCAGAAAATGGCCAAACTACTTGCTCAACAAACAAATGTTTGCATGACTACACAGACCAAGTAGCATAATATAATAAGAAAATATTAAATTGCAACATCAAGCAGCGTAACGAGCAGTTGTTAACGTCAAAAAATGAATGGAAGTGAATGTGACCGGAAGTCGCGAGACAAAAAGATTCAAATGGCAGCGCCCGCTCGACAGCTGAGAATAAGGTGAATATGAGGATTGTATAGAAGAATAACCAGTTTGTAAACATTCAAGGTGCGCGCAGCGAGGTTGCAGAAAAAAGGAGCGCTAGCATTTACAGCGAGGGATTGACATCCGATGCGGTACAGAGTTTGTTGTTGTCTTAGAAATAAGTTATATTGTTTACATATTATATATATTATTTACATAATGCTTTCAGTGTATTATAACAGCTTGTCACCCAGTGATAAGCACAGTTATTGGCCAAAATTAATGTTAAAGTGAGCGGTGTTCGTCTGACAGGTCCATCTGCGATAGCACCCTCCCAATGAATATCGGATAATACCTTTACGGGATAATAGTGGGATAGAACTGTAAAATACGGGAAAATCCCGGGAAAACTGGAGGGTTGACAGATATGCACTGTAAATACATATACAACAAAATGGTGCTGTCAATGTAAATACAGTAAGTCTATTGTAAAGTGGCGAACTGCTAACTTAACTCAACTGTGCACCTCTGTTCACGCACATCCGCCGCGTTAGCATGGATACGACTGACAGCGCTAAAAATGAATGCTAAATCAAAAGTTTACAAACCTGAATCAATATGGGAGTTAATTTGCACACTGGAGGAAGGATGACACTATGGTGAAGTATTTCTTTTGGAAGTGTTATCTTTTAAAACTATTTTAGTGATGCAAAGCTGAATGGGTTATATGCACAGAAGTGTTGTTCAGCCATTGAAATCTTTTGGTGAAAGATTAATGTGACTATTTTCAGTTTCTCAAGGGACCTTTTGCAGCATCGATAATGTCGATTTTTATTTAGTTTACCAACAAAACATCAGTAAATAGCGCTGCTCCGCCTAGCCTGCTTTACTGATCTGAAGTTGGTTTTATATTTACATTGGTTCATTTTTGAACAATGTCAACCTGTTATGCGCTCCCTATATTGTTTACCATGCTACTTTGAATATTTGGTCTAAAATAGCATGTAAGTGTGGCTTATAATAAGTGTAATTCCTGCTCCCCGCATGCAATAATTATTAATAAAACTTTGTTTGCTGCTTTTTTAAAGTAAAATGTCTTTGTTATGTTTTCAGTTGCCTTCACAGCCAAATACCCACTACTTTTTCATTATAAAAACACAGTAAATAACTGTACGCATGGGGTAATGAGTGTTTCATTAAGTTAATTGTGTTTTGTGAGAAGTGTCTGAAAAGACGTAATAAAAGAGGTATGTTTTTTTTAGCTGCGTTGTACTATACTGTATGTTTTTCTAAAAGAATTTCTATGTATGGATTTTTCCAAACTTTAAATTAACAATATTACTTACATACTATAAAGATTAAATATTAATTAAAAAACTGACACAATAAAAACAGCTGACATAAAGGGCCATGAACCCCACCCCCCCACCCCCCGTCTCAGAAGTGTTTTCACACTTCTAGATTTAAAAAGGTCAGGAAAGTGGGTAAGTCCAGCTTTGTTTAAGTGGCAGAGTTGAGAGGCGAAAGAGGAAAGGGTTTGCATGAAAAGGGGAGTTTATGTATTGAAATAAAAGTAGAAGTAGGAGAAAACAACAGCAGAATACAGATACAGCCTTTTAGTACTTAAGTACAGTAGTGAAGTAGTTCTACTTCGTTACTTTACATCTCTGGTGACTACATTTACATCAGTAATCAAATTTTTTGCATTAATCAGAATAAGACAATAATATGATGAAGCCGTTTACATAAGTTGTGTTTCTTTCATGATCCTGTTTTACATGTTATAGCACATAATTTGATTAATATCATTGCTTCAACATGCTATACACATTTCTTCCAGGTTTTCATTTAATTTCGGGTGTTTTATTCCTAATTTGTTGACTTTAACTGCAGTTTGGCACTTTCACTTTCATCCAGGAACATTTCATGCATGCCCCTCGTGACAAACGAGACATTGGATGCGAGGAACTGCTGGGGGAGTGTAGTTGTAATGGAATTTGATACCGCAGGTGGAGGAAAAAAACTCAGCATTTCTTGGTAGATGCAAACACTGGGTAGGTGCAGAGAATAGCGTCAAACAGCTGTGTGTGTAAAGACTATCCTATCAGAAAATGCGGTGAAAATTTTAAACGGCAGTAATAGTTTGATTGCAGTGTTTAGATGTTTACATTCGGAGATCAGCATTTACAGCGGATCTTTCAGTCCATAATATTGTAGTCATATTACTGTAAACTTAGTAAATAAATTATTTTGACGAAGGTCTGTCTTTAAAAACTGAAAGAGCACTGCTGACGATACAAACTAACTTTGGCATCTAAATAAACATAAACAAAGACACTAATCACACACTTACCAAATCTGTAGAGACAGGACAATCAACACGTACTGAAACCGCATCTCCTTTTAAAAGAAGATGAGTGGCAAATCCAGATTTCAACATTTATAGATGCGAAAAGCTCTCGGCTAAAAAATATTCCTTGCAAACATATTCTTGTCGCATGTTAGCAGACCACTGTAATCCACAAATGTGGGCCCACATACCAGCTGCACTCTCATCGCGGGGAAATGAAAACGAAACCTTTGATGCAGCACATTTATAAACACAACACTGACGACCCATGTCTCCGAACAATTCTTCTTCTTCCACTTGTTTTAATTATGCTTGGGAACACAATGTGGCATCTCTCTGCCGTCTGTAACAGATAAAAACAGTCCTTGAAGCTATCATGCATATTAATGAACTTGCACCTCATTCACAATAGAGCGCGCTGATTGGTTTGAACAAGTCTTTCTCATAAATTAATGATGAAAACTCAAAGACATCTCATTGTACCGGCAGGTACAGACATCCAGTCTCCATGCTGGAAATTACACAAGGATTGTAACTATCAACATCTAAAAAAATGAGTTAAAATGAGGTAAAATAACAAGTTAACAAACTTTTTATTATTATTATTATTTATTTATTTTTTCATCAAAAATGATTTAAACATCAAAAGAAGATCTGTCTAGATAAACTTCCTTTAACAATCTCAAGACAAGCAGACAATACTGTTTCCCATGCATGTGCTCTTGTTGTCTGCACTCCACCCCGTTTCCCGCCCACCTGTGCAAACCTCCTCTGCCCTTACTTGTCCAATTTCGACGCAGGAAAAACTGTTGCTCCATAAGGGAACACCCACTGTGTACAAAGAGCTTTCAAATGACAACTTCCTTTACCTGCAGTGTGGAGCTGTGTGCCTGAAGCTCTTTGCCGGGAATAAAAAAAGGCATAATCTTGGTACAAAAGAGGATCGTAGCCATAAAACGTGCTTTGCTTAATATTACATAATCACTCTGGGAACTATACCTGCTTGCAAGATAGGCATTTGACAAAGGTAATGTGAGACTTTACAATACTTTCAAAGTGCTTTTTATTATTCTCTCTAACGTTTAGTGATGGAGATTTTAGTTTACTGGAAAAAAGTATGTCTAGATAAACTGGAAAAAGATTTGAAAGTTAGTTTCACTTGGGCTTTTTTTTTCCTCTTCTCTTTTCTCTGAGAGGTTTGTATTGTGAAATTCAACACTTCTTACCTGGGTGCTCAGGTGGAAAGAATGAGGAGAGAAGAAAGACAATTTAAAGAGTCTGTTTGTCTCTTTCTGTGATTGGATGTGATGTATGAATCAGTCTTGCAAAAAACTAAACAAAAGCAGAGCGATTATATGCACACGTTTATCTTTTGATTGATTTATTATTTTTGATAGTTTTTGTTTTGTTATTGCTAACTTTTTATCCATTTTGTTTGTCTAAAATGTCTAAAGCAAGTGACATACTTTATATTTTTAAGAACAACAGAATAAGCACATGGGCAAATGTAATGGAAAAAACAACACAGCTACAGTAAAATCAGAATGATTAAACTCCCTTAGATTTTTCCCCCCCTTTTTTTTTATATTTCCCAAATGATATTTAACAGAGCAAGGACATTTTCACAGTATGTCTGATAATATTTTTTCTTCTGGAGAAAGTCTTATTGGTTTTATTTCGGCTAGAATAAAAGCAGTTATTAATTTTTAAACTCCATTTTAAAGTCAAAATTATTAGCCTCTTTAAGCTATACATTTTTTTCGATAGTATACAGAGCAAACTATCATTATACAATACCTTGCCTAATTACCCTAACCTGTCTAGTTAACTTAGTTAAGGGGAAGGGCTAGATACCCCTTCAAACTGAGATTTTTCTCACACTCAAAACCAAGGGGTAAGAAAGTTTCACAGAATAAACCAGCTATAACAGCAGCATAGCTGCACATGGAATTCAGCAGATGCACAAATTAGTACTTTTTTTTGTTCATTATTACGTATTATGTACGACAAACAAGCATATATACATTTATAAAGCCATTCGTGCTTTACCGTTGTGCATTAAAAGAAAAATCTAAAAAAAAACCTGCTAAATTTTACTATTTATAATCCATAATGACTTCTGTACAGCAGTCCCACAACATTCTGACACTGTCAGGAAAGTCTAGTGGCTGGGAACGACCTTTTTACAGTGTCTGCTATAATGTTAATGTTGTTTCTGTGTGTTTACATGATGAATAGGGCCACTGTAATGCTCAGTATCTTATTGCCACATTATATCGTCATGTTAATATTGTTGCCTTCAGTGATTTCCTTAAGATAAATATAAAAAAATAAAAATAAATAATGCAACTGGAATAACTACAGCAGTCGCCATCGTTGATCTCATATGAAGCAGGAGATCGCCATGACATATGATAACGTGTGCAGGTGTTGTAGTGCTGTCCTAATAATTTTGACCTTAAAATGTTTTTTAAAAAAATTAAAAACTGCTTTTATTCTAGCCGAAATAAAACCAATAAGACTTTCTCCAGAAGAAAAAATATTATCAGACATACTGTACTGTGAAAATTTCCTTGCTCTGTTAAACATCATTTGAAAAATATTTAAAAAGGAAAAGATTCATAGGGGCGCTAATAATTCTGACTTCAACTGTACATTTAAAGGAACGCACTATTTTTATTTTGATGCTTATTTTACAACTCCCCTTTAAACAATTGAGTTTTACTCATTTTTAATCTATTCAATTCTGGCGAGAGCACTTTTAGCTTAGCTTAGCATAAATCATTGAATCAGATTAGACCATTAGCATATTGCCCGAAACAATTCCAAAATGAGTTTAGATAACGTTCATATTCAAGGCTTGACTCTTTTGTAGTAATATTGTGTACTAAGACTGACAGAAAATGGAAAATTGCAATTCTCTAAGTCAATTTTGTCAAAGTTTTTATTACGGTGGAACGAAAGAATAGTTCCTAGCCATCTCGATCTAGAAAAACACAACTTTTTATTCACTCTCAGTCTTAATACATGATTTAACTACAAGAGAATCAAGCTTTAAATATTATTAGCTTTAAGTATAAGTGAAGTTATTATTGAAACTCTCTTTTGAATAGTTTTAAATGGGATGCTAATGGTCTAATCTGATTCAATAATTTATGCTAAGCTAAGCTAAAAGTGCTCCTGCAGACTCTGATTTTGGCTGAATAGGGTCAAAAATGATAAAACTCAACTGTTAAACTCTAAATGACTTGTAATATAAGCCAATTTAAACAAAGGGGGAGTGTTTGTACAGTGGAAGTACATTACAGTAGCATATTCAGCACACATTTAACACGGGTTACTGAAAAATAGTAATGTTATTGATTTAAAGTGACTAGTTTATCATGTTATAAAATCCACTGCGGATCTCTTGAACAACTTAGCCCAATTCCCATGATCGTTCTAGACAAAAATCACAGGTTTCTGAGATTAAATAAACAAATTATCTCCTCTGCATGCTTATTTGAGAAACCTGATTTAATCTGCGCCTGTTGAACTTGACCTGCGCCTCAGGCTAAACATGAATCAGGCAACCATAAATTAAAACGTAACCGGTGTACTTAGGCAGGGAACACCCTACTATCTGTGTCATTTCAGATGTTTATGTGCCGTGGCTATAATTCTTGAGTCACTTTTGTTTTGTCGGTGTGTGTGTGGCACAGATACGCTCCCGCTTCTTTTGGAAATCTCAACCCAAACACTGCGCCATGTAGGACGTCCTGTGAGTTGCAATGCTATACGGTTGGTTGAAACTGAAATAAATGGTCTATTGTGTCATTCTCTCTGTGTAGTCGTGATCCACGCTCTCCAGTCTGCCAGCTGCTATGCTATTAGCTTGTCAACACACATCTGCTGTTTGAAGTGTAACATCCCTGATCTATTTTTCCACACGGATGACGGGAAAAGATAGAGATACAATTGGAAACGTGTAGTAAAACAGTAAACGTTTGGTTTTTTGAGATGCTGGAATGTTGTTTGAGCTGTGACAGTGTGTGTTTGGTTTGTGTATGTGTGTTTGGTTGAGCCAGATTGGCCGGGTCTCATGTTACGGTGTGTGTGTCGAGTGTATTGTGCAGAGTTTTTCTCGGGGGACGTCCAGATCAGCCGTGTGGCTTTGTTATTGCCCAAGAAAACATAGAGGTTGCTTTATAGAGGTTACGTGTGATTTTTTTTCTTCTTTTCTTTTAAAAATATTTGCTGTAAATGTTGTTTAATGTGGAGAAGAGCACATTTTTACACACAATGGTTTTAATAAGTAATTTCTACTGATTTCTTTTGTTGTTGCCATAATTTTTTTTCACTTATTTTGCAATGGGTCTGGGCGATAATTCGATAACGATAATTATCACAATATATATTTTTCAATAAAACGATAATGACAGTTTGATAAGTGTTCAATAATATTTACGCACTATGCATAAAGCTGCACAGGCATTTTGCAGCGTGCCCTGCCGAATGCCGCATACAGTACAAGTTTACAGCCATACAGGGGTGTGTTTCTGAAAACCATCGTTAGTCAACTAAGGTCACAAGTTGTGTCATTACAAACATAGTTTGTTGACTTGATATTTCCCAAATCCGTCGTTCCAACGAACATTCGCAAACTGTGTCGCAAACTTGTACGCCTGCAACTACACCCCTGGAGCTGTAGTTAGAAACATGTGTTCTATTCCCAGTTATCCCCTATTTATTTAGAACTTTCTATCATTTAAACAAATTCTTAAGAAAAAAAGTAAAAAAAAGTCATCTCTCTTAGGTATAAATTGCTTTCAAAGTACACTGAAAAATTATGTCTGCAAAAGTGTTGCAAACAGTTTGTATGTGTTGAGTTTAAACAAACAAATTACATTTAGTAATGCTCAACTCAATTTGATTGTTTAAATTCAGCTCAAATAAATTGTTTACAACCACTTAACGTAAAAAGATTTAGTAAACCTATTATTTAATTTAAGATTTAGTAAACCTATTATTTAAAAGCGTAATTTATGTCTCCAAAAAAATCTTATGAAAACAAAAAAAAAAACAGCATACAATAATACTTAAATTTATAGTAGGTTATTTATTAAGTATCTGCACTGTATATGACATGGGCCTGTTGGTTAGAACATTTCTGCAGTGGTTTGAATGTGTCAAATTGTAAAAGTAGACTTTTCAAAAAATAAAAAATAAATAAACAATATCCTACATAATAATAATAATAATAATAATAATAATAATAATAATCATCATCATCATCATCATAATCATCATGGTCATTAATATTATTATTTATTTTTAAGTAGGTTTTTTTAATTTCCTAATAAATAATATATTTAATTTCTTAATAAATCGCCTCATTATTTATTTATTCATGTGATTTATATATGATATTAGAATACTTGTTAGCTTTTGTAAGTGATTTTACGTTTTGGAATAGAATATGGAATATTCTCAATAATATTTGTAAAGGAAACACAGGCTCTATATGTGCCATTTACATATATTTCAATTAATATGGAAAACGAGTGCATGTTTTTAGCAAAACTAATATTGTAATTTTTTTTAATGCGTGTAAAACAATACAATTTACACAAAGAAATAATGGGGTTCTTCTCTAAAGAAGTTGTTACTCCACTCCGTTTAGAGCAATATTATGGGCGTTTTATGTTATAACTAACATGGTTCAAACGATGGATCTGCTATACAGAGTAACTACAAGTTTTGGGAAACACAAATTCCCCCAGTCCAAAACTCGAAACCAGAGCACCCGGAGGAAACCCACTCGAACCCAGGGAGAACATGCACACTTCACACAGAAATGCCAACTGACCCTGTTCGAACCAGCAAACTTCTTGCTGTGAGGCGATTGTGCTACCCACTGCGCCACCACGTCGCCCATATTTTTTTATCTTTCTCCTGATTTTTCTGTTTATTACAATTATATTTAGTAATTTCAGCAAGACAATGATCCAAAACACAGCCAAGGAAACTCTCAAACATTTTCAGAAA